CTTGCTATTGAAAGTAGTTAGATTACTTATGATATTGTGTGGTCAACAAAATGTTGGGGGAAAAGGAAAAAAAAAGTTTCAGGAGGAAAAAAAACAGTAAAACTGTTATCAAAATTTCTTTTAAAAATGCATACTTGATGACTTCAGTAAGCTATATAGCCCCAGGTAGGTGCTACTTTATAGCATGTTCATTCTACTCACTGAGGTTTATGCCTGAAGTCAGACTTGGGTTCATGTATAGGTGTATATCAGCTGCGCTTGCTATTGGAAATATTTAGACTAATTAAGTTCATTAGCAAATCAATTAAATGGGGGGAAAGGCATAGAAAGCAACCATGGATACCAGAGACAATGTGGGAAGAGGGTGGGACAGGGCAGAGGGTGAGGGATAGGGAATCAAGGATGGCAAAACAAAAAGCAAAGTAAACAAGATATAAGAAATGGAAAATTATTTGCTGATAACATGTATGTTGATGTGCTTGATTGAGCCAATATACAGCGTATTTTGGATGGAAAATTCATTTGTATGCTGTAATGATGTATAGTGAATTAATGTAAAAAATAAATAAATTTAAAGAAAAAAAATAACTCACATAAATTAACATGGTTTCCATTTCCACATGAATTTACTTTAATATTTTAAAAAGTTATCTTCTTTATCATAGAATATGTGGTCAATTAACAATATGCATCCAATATGCTAAATTTTAATGTTATTGTGCAGAACTTTATCTCGTTTTCTTTCTGTTGTCTTTTTTTTAAATTTTTATTTACTTTTTTTAATACATTCAATTACATTATTTAGCTTACAAGGTGATCATTTCAATATATGAACATTTCTCCCTGGTCTAGTTGATCAAAATATAGCAACACTACCTCCCTGTTTCAACAATGCTGTCTTTGTATCCCTCCTCCAAATGTTCTTCCCCAGGCCCACTCCTCCACACACCCATCTGGCATTCACATCCACCTCTTCTGTTGTTATTCTGTCTTATAATAAACTTTGTTTCATTTGTTTTCCAATGATCAGCCACAGAAGCCTCAGAGCAATTAGATTCATAAAAAGGGCCATTTAAACTCTTTGTATGAATTTGAGTTGAATAAAATTATTTGTGATTTAAAAAAAAAAGTTGAGATGCTTGAAGAAGCAGTACTTGGTTGGCAAGAGGTAAGACGAATATGGCAGATGAGGCAGAACCAAATTTGTTCAACTTTTGAAGCATTGGCTGTGTGACATGCCATGGAGTGTTGTTACAGAAAACTGGGCAATTTCTGTTGACCAATGGGGGTTCAAGTGTTGCAGTTTTCAGTACATCTCAATGATTTGATGAGAATACTTCTCAGATGTAAAGGCTTTGCTGGAATTCAGAAAGCTGTAAGTGATCTGACCCCACCATTAATTTTTTTGGTGCCAACTTGGCTTTGTAAATTGTTTTGGAGCCTCTTTACAGTCCAACCCACTGATCTGGTCATCACAGTTGTATAAAATCTACTTTTCATCACACATGACAATCCAATTAAGAAAGGGTTTCTTGTTATTTCATAGAATAAGAAAAGATAATATTTCAAAATGACAATTTTTTAAATTTTTGGTCAGTTCCTGAGGATCCCACTTATCATACTTTTTCACCTTTCCAATTTGCTTCAAATGCTAAAGGACTATAGAATGCTGATGTTCAGTTCCTTAGTAATTTCTCGTGTAGTTGTAAAAGGATCAGCTTTGATGATTGCTCTCCGTTGGTTGCTGTCAACTTCCAATGGTCAGCCACTATGATCCTCATATTCAAGGCTCTCATCTCCTTTGCAAAACTTCTTTATTTATTTATTAATTTAAGAGAGATTTTTACTATAGGGCATGTGAGCTCATTGGAGAGACAGAGAGACAGAAAGTGAGAAATCACCCCCCAGGAGCGATAGCCATGCTGCAATCCCTTCTCCTCCATTCTCCTCTTGGGATCTTGGGCACATATGCATACGTGCCCAGCGTGAGTATTTTAAGCCACTGGGCCTGGGACTTGAACCACAGTCGACTATATGGAAGTCCAGTGACATAACCCTTATGCCATCTGCTGGCACATGCGAAACTTCTTGAACCACCACTGTACTGTACATTGATTATCAGTTTCTGTGACAAATGCATTCTTGATGTTGTGAATTCTCTCTGCTGCTTTACAACCCATTTTGAACTCAAATAAAAAAGTTGCTTGAATTTGCTTTTTGCCTAATATCATTTCCATTCTAAAGTACATATAAAATCAACCGCAAGTAACGTCATTAACAAAAAATAAAGTGAGAAATGCACATTAAAGTGATGTATAATATAACCACATTTAAGAATGTATTCTATATCAAATGGCACATTTCAACAGTGCAAAGCTGCAATTACTTTTGTACCAACCTGATAAATGCTGACCCAACAGTCCTGTACTGCATAATAAGGTTTTAGCCAACAACAGACTGCATATATAACAGTAGTCCAACTAAATTATAATGGCGCTGAACATTTTCTATTGTCATAACCATTGCAAGCTTGTACCACAATGCATTCTCACTTGCTTAAAGTGATGCTAGTGTAAACAAACTTACTGCACTGCCAGTCATACTGAAGTACAATAGTACATAACATTTGACAGTGATAATAAATGTTCCTGGTTTGTGCACTTATAGTATACTTACTATTTTGAAATAATACTTAGTTTTATTTTTTTTAAGTTCATTGTTAAACAGTACACCATATTATGCTAGTAACAGCCTCATATATTGTGTTTGCTTATTGCATCTCTTGATTGTCTCATTTTCTCTTGTGATTGATTTAGTCATGTGCTGTTTTATTTCTCATGGCCCAAAACCAATAGGCTATACCATATAGCCTACGTGTAAGTAGGGTATTCCATCTAAGTCTGTGTAAGTACACTCCATAATGTTTCCACAATGTCAAAATTGCCTAATAATGCACCTCTCAGAACACACTCATCCTTAAGCTATTGAGTGTATATCACTTATCACTTTGAATGGCAATGGTTTGAAGTACAAATTGAAAGATAGAGAATACCAGAGTGAATCAAAGCACAAGACAACTAGATGCTGCCTACAAGAAACCCACTTTAGAGGGACCAGCAGTTAGTGTAATGGCTATGTCGCTGGACTCCCACGTAGTCGACCGCGGTTCGCGTCTCGGACCCGGTGGCTTAAATCTCACACCGGGCGCGTGTGCGTGCGTGCCCAAGATCCCGAGAGGAGAATGGAGGAGAAGGGATTGCGGCGTGGCCATCCCCCCAGGGGGGTGATTTCTCGCTTTCTATCTCTCTGTCTCTCTCTGTCTGGCGAGTACACACGCCCTATAGGAAAAACCTCTCCCCCAAAAAAGAAACCCACTTTAAATATAAGACACTTACTCAAACATAAATGGGTGGATAAAAATATACAATGCTAATATTAATCAAAAGAGAGCAGGAGTAACTATATTTATTTCACACAGAGTAGTAGTAGTTAGACTTCAAGGCAAGAATGTTATTACAGGGCTTGCCATGCAGCCTAGTATATAAGGAAGTCGCTCCCACAAGACCAAACTCAAGGTTCAAATCTCCATCCCAGTGGCTTGAAAAATCACCAGGCACATGTACAGGTACACATTTAAAATAATAGAAATCATTCAGTGTGTGCTCTCAGAACACATCAGAATTAAACTAGAAATTGGTAACAGAGGGACCAGCAGTTAGTGTAATGGCTATGTCGCTGGACTCCCATGTAGTCGGCCGCGGTTTGAGTCCCAGATCCAGTGGCTTAAATTCACGCCGGGTGCGTGTGCGGGAGTGCCCAAGATCCTGAGAGGAGAATGGAGAAGGGGTTGCTGCGTGGCCATACCCCTCGGGGTGATTTCTAACTTTCTATTTCTCTGTCTCTGTCTTTCTGGGAGTGCACGCGCCCGATAGCAAAAAAACCTCTCCAAAAAGAAAGAAAGAAAGAAATTGGTAACAGAAAGATCACTGGAAAATTCTCCAAGTGAGCTCATTTATTTACTTATTTATTTATTTTTACATTCAGTCGCTGTGTATCATTACGGCATACCAAATAAATTTATCCATCATGAATACAGGGTACATTGGTTCAAAGATATTACATTACTTGTTATCATCGTCAGCAGATAATTTTCCGTTTTTGTGTCCCTTAAATGTCTGCTTCTCTGTCCCCGACTCCCGCCCTGTCCCCTCGCGCAGTCTCCAGTTCCCGCGGCGCCCCCTGCCTTTCCATCTCCCCGTCTTTCCGTTTCCGCGCAGACGCCGGGTACGCGTGCAGTGGGGGCGCGCTTTCATAGTCTGGCTAGCTTTGCTTAGCAGCGAATCTTCCGGATTCGTCCACTTTCTATCAAATGCCAGGGCCGCCTCCTTTTTTATGGCTGAGTAGAATTCCAAGAGTACCTGCCCACCGTTTTTCAATCCGTTCACCGCTTTGTGGACATTCCGGTTGGTTCCACGTCTTAGTGATCAGAATAATGCCACGATAAAGGTGAGTGTGCACGTGTTTTTTTACTGCCGCTCCCTCTCTCCGGAGAACACACGCCCCCATGACCGAAACCTTTTTTTACAAAAAGAACTAAAACTAACGCACAAACGCGGGGAGGCCTCGGGCAGAGCCCCAGCACCGGCCCCCAGGCACCGTATTGGGCAGCCCCGGGCCTTCGAGCGTCGGGCAGCGGGTCCTG